CTAAGGAAAACAGCACACATATCCAAGGGCAGGGCTCAGTGACACATGCCTGTAATCTCAGCAGTGCAGGGGACGTAAGTAGAAGGGTCATAATTAGAGGCTGGCCCTGGGGAAAAAAAAGTGTGAGACTCTATGTGAAAATTAGCTAAAGACAAAGGCAGAGGTGGAGATCAAGGCCATCCTAGCACAGCACAAGCAGTAAAAATGCTGGGTGTGGTGAGGCCCACCTGTGAGCCCAGCTACAAAGGAGATTTAAAGTAGGAGGATCACAGTCCAAGGCTGGCCTGGGCAAAGAAAGTGACATCTGCCTGAAAAATAACTCAAAAAGGATGGAAGGCATGGCTCAAGTGGTAGAGCACCTGCCTAGCAGGTGTAGGACCTTAAGTTCAAACCCTAATACCATGAAAAATCAAAAAAGGAAAAAAAGAGAACAGAAAAATAAAGTACATTTATATACAACAGAACACTACAGTAATGGAAATAAATAGACTTGAGTAGAGGGAAACTTAAGATCACATTCCAACAGTTTTTAAATAATCGAGAAAACTATTTTTTATATAGCATATAGATCTAATAAAATCCCCTGTTAATAGGGGCTAGGTGTGGTGGTGCATGCCTGAATCCCAGCTAGTTAGGAGGCAAAAATAGGAGGATCAAAGTTCAAGAATAGCCTGGGCTGGGCTGGGAAGGTGGCTCAGTGGTAGAGCGCTTGCCTTGCCTGCCTGAGGCCCTGGGTTCGATTCCCCAGCACCACATAAGCAAAAAAAAAAAAAAAAAAAGAATAGCCTGGGCCAAAGTAGGGAAGGAAGGAGAAGGGGAGGGGAGGAGAAGAGGGAAGGGATCGCTAACACATTTTGTATATATATAAATTCCTTGAATAGACTTGGGACAAGCATTGAATGTTGTTTTTCTTAATTTTCCTCTTCTACATGAAACACTTGAGGAAACATTCCTTAAATGGATAGATGGTTGATGGATGAATGATGAGTGAACAGTATGATAGATAGTTGGATGATGAGTGGACAGTTGGATGATGAGTGGATGAATAGATGGTGGACAGACAATGGACAGTAGCTGGGTGATAGATGAATGATGATGTACAGAAGGATGGATGGATGGATGGATGGATGGATGGAGAATGGATGGATGGATGGATGGATGGATGGATGTATAGCTGGGTTGATTGGTGGATGCATGAATGGATGGGTGGATAGATGGATGGGTGATGGATGGATAGCTGGATTGATGGGTGGATGGATGGATGGGTGGGTGGGTGGGTGGATGGATGGATGGGTGATGGATGGATGGATGGATGGGTGATAGATGGATGGATAGGTGGGTGGGTGATGGGTGGATGCATAGCTGGATGGATGGATGGATGATGGAAGGATGGATAGGTGGGTGGGTGGATGGGTGATGGGTGGATGCATAGCTGGATGGATGGATGGATGATAGAAGGATGGGTAGACAGGTGGGTTGATGGATGGATGGATAGGTGATGGGTAGATGAATATCTGGATGGATTGATGGATGGATGGATGAATGGATGAATGGATGGATGGATGGATAAGATAATGGAAGGATGGGTAGATGGATGGGTGGGTTGATGGATGGATGGGTGATGGGTGGATGAATATCTGGATGGATTGATGGATGGGTGGATGAATGGATGGATAAGATAATGGAAGGATGGGTAGATGGATGGGTGGGTTGATGGATGGATGGGTGATGGGTGGATGAATATCTGGATGGATGGATGGGTGGGCGGGTGGATGATTGGTGGGTGGATGAATGGGTGGATGTGGATACAGAGCTGGATGGATGGATACAGTTTGAGTGTGGGAGACTTGGTTCCCTGAGTGAGGATGGAAACCTGGGTGGTGGCTTTAAGAGTTGGGACTTGGTAGGAGGCCGACCCACTGTGGGGCATGGCTCTGAGTAGGAGCAGCAGCCCTCTCAGGCCCCTGGTGGGTTCCCAGGGAGCTAGCTGTTACCACACCCAGCCCCTCCCCATTCCCCTGGGCTCCCGGCCACTGCGGTGGCTCCATGTGAGAGGCTCCCTGGACTGAGCCCTACATTCCGGAATCCCGCGGCCTCCTCTCTTCAGGCATTTCATTACAGGTCCAGAAGGCGACCACAGGAGTAGGAAGGGATGTGCAGGCAGGAGGATGCAGAAATGAACAGCTCTGAAGCCCCACGGCAGTCGGCTGGGAGAATGGTGTTCAGCACCCCCCCCCCCCATGCCTGCAGCCCCTGCTGAAAGCACTGCAGCGGCCATCATGCCCAGCACGCCGCTCCGTCTCCTCTGAGGACACACACGCAAGGCCCTGATGGGCAGAACTTCAGTGTCTGGCCGCCCCTGAAAGAAACCAGCAGCCACTGCCTTGGGGACCCTGTGCTCATGGCCCCCTCGGCTGACCCCAGCCAGGCAGAGCTAAGCCCCCGCCTTCAACCCCCGCCTGCCACTCTAAAGCCAGACTGTCCCGGAGCCCCAGGGTGCTTGCAAGACAGCAGAAGCAGTCATAACTCAGTGTTCACCTCAGCAATATCAATAAATAAGGAGGAATCTACTGAAGGGAAATAAACACTCCCTCTCCAGGCTCAGAAATGAAGCTTTCCTTCTGAAGGACAGACTCATCTCTACCAGCCAGCCTCTGTCTCTGAGTGCCAGCTTTTCTCACCAGGCCAAGCCTGATCTCAGGGAAGGGGGCGGGGGGGGGGGGGGTACACTGGATCCCTCCTGCTTGTCCTGGCTGAAAGGTTCACCCTGCCTGCCTGCCTCAGGCCGCCAGCAGCCTGCATGTCCAGAGGGAGCCCCACAACCCACGGACGCCAGCCGGAGGGGCCACAGGGGTCAGGGTGCAAGGGTGAGATCCAGCCAGCAGTCTCCTCAAAATGGACCCCCTTGGGGCTGAGTGTGGTGGAGCACTCCTGTAATCCCACCTCCTGGGAGATGGAGATGGCAGAAGCAAAGTTACAGGCAAAAAAACTTAGCAAGACCCCATCTCAACTGCGTTGGAGGTGTGGCTCAAGGGCAAGACCCTGGCCTCAAACCCCAGGACTACCAAAGCAAAACAAAAACAAAAACAGGAGCTTGCCATGGTGACACAGGCCTGTAATCCCAGCTACTCTGGAGGTGCTGACAGGAGGACTGAAGCTCAGGACTGCATGCTCATCGGGTGGGGACCTGGGCCCCCCCATCTCGAAGGTCTGTGGTGGGCCTCCCAGACAGGCCAGGGTACCGAGAAGCTGGGCAGGGCTCACCCTCCACCTGCCTCTGGCTTCCCTGCTGGCCTGGGAGATTTGTCACAGCCCCAGGGGAAGGCCACAGGCAGGCCTTCAGGCCTATGCTCCAGGGCACCATGCGCCCTGCCACCTGGGAAGAGCCCGGAGCCCAGAGGCTGGCCACCCCCTTAGGCCAGGCCACAGTGACCAGCAGTGGCCCAGGAAACCTGTCTACACCAGGCCCAGCTCGAGTGCTTGTCCCACAGGGCTGGGGATCAAACCCAAGCCCTGTGCATGCTAGGGCACTGCTCTATCACTGGGCCACGCCCACTGCCAATGAGCTCTGCCCCTGCCACTTGGCCACAACCCCACTCACCAGCCACCCCCCAGCCACCCCAATGTGCCCCGCCCCTCTTTGGCCACGCCCATTGATACTGGGCCACGCCTGCTGCTAATGAGCTCCGCCCCTGTTGCTTGGCCATACCCACACACTAGCCCCATGGCTACCAATGTGCCCTGCCACACTCCCTCCAATGAGCCCTCTTTGCCAGCCATGCCCATCATGAGCCCCACAGCTGCCTCCAAGCCACACCCCTAAAGATGAACCACACCCTGCATGGTTAATCAAACCATTGAGCCACGCCCCCTGCCAGGGTCACACTCAGCAGCTCTAACATCTCCTGGTCTCTCCTTGGACCCAGCCAATCCGTGCATCCTGCATCCTCTGCTGCCATAAATGCACACGCTGTAAAAGGCAGATAAGCACGCCAGACAAGAGGAGGCAAAGCCACCTAGGGTCTGGGCTCCTTCCTGCCCCGACCCCTCACTTCCTGCTGAGGCCAAGCCAGTTTGCCGCTGGCAGCCCCAGGAACCCTCCTGAGATGTTACATGAGTATAAAATACAGCTGCAGGCAGGCATACCGATGCACACCTGTAATCCCAGCACTTGGGAGGCTGAGGCAGAAAGATTGCGCATTCCAGAACGACATCCCAAGACTGTCTGACAATAAATACATAAATTGAAGAGCCACGGCCGTATGGAACATGCCACTTAAAGGCAAACGCGTGGCAATGCTGGAGGTGACTCTGAAGTCCAAGAAACACATCACTAAGGAAACTGAGTCCAGAGTGGATAACCTGGATCCTATTCCTCCTTCTTTTGAATGCTGCTTTCTGATCAGGGTGTTGTTTTGTCAGGACGCTGTCCTGGGGGAGTTCAGACACGGTGTCCCCACATTTACTTCTACCCCCACCCCACCCCCATCATCCTGAACACCTGAGCTCCACTGGGAGCAGCATCCAAAATACCTGGCGGCCATTGCCTTCTGTCTGGGCAGCTTGAAAGCACCAGGGGCAAATCAAGAGATGGCTCATCGAAGAGGGTGCCCACATGAGTGGGGACACAGGAGGGTCCCCCTCCCCTTCCCTGTCCCCGGTGGTAAAGACCCAGCCAGCTGGCAGACACACAGCACACTGTGGGGAGGTAGTGTGGTGGGTGGGCCCTGGTGGCCTGGGACTCCCGGGTCCTCCAGCCTCAGCTCCCCGAGTGTGGAGATTACAGGGGTACCACCGACATGGGATGGCACATTTCAAGACTATTCGTATCCAAGGAAAATGGAGCATTCTCACTGCAGGTCCACCCGTCCACACAAAGAAGTCATTTTGCCATTATCTGAGCTCTTCCACAGCCACACCTCCACAGGGTGCCTGGAGCCCAGGCCTCTCCCTCGGGTCCCCAGCCCCAAGGCTGCCCTGGGTGGGGAGCTGCCTCTCACCATCGAGCTCCTCCACGGAGATGTTGGCCAACTGCTCGCTGTCGCTGCCCGCCGAGAGTGAGCGGTTGAGGTAATTCCCCTTGTACAGTAGGCCGGCGGTCACGTGGTGGAAGGGCATCTTCTCCCTGCGGGGACAGCACAGGATCACTCACACCAGGCCACTCTCCTGCTCCCCGCCCCTTCCTTCCTGTCCTGTGTTCTGCCCCAGGACCCCAAGGCCTGTGCCACTCCCCAGAACTCTTAGGTCCCCCCCAGAATTCCTCTGGCTTCTTCCTTCATTTTTCAGTCATGGTCAGATCACTACTTCAGACCAACATGGGGGCCTGTGCCCCTTTCCTGGGTCTGAAAATTACTTGGGAGGTTTAGGGGTTTGAACTCAGGGCTTGGGCTTGCTAAGCAGGTGCTCTGCCACCTGAGCCATGCCCCAGCGCCTGTGTTTTTTTTGTCTGCCACAAAGGGTCTGGTGCTTTTGTATACAATGGCCTCAGATCACAACCTACACCTCCTTGTAGCATACTGGTTAAGATGATGTCTGACATCATGACAGAGCTGGCCTTGAACCAGGGATCCTCCAGTCCCTGAGTGACTGGGATTACAGGTATGTGGGACTGGCCTGGAAAATGCTCTCTCGTGATTGGAAGGAGTGTTGCAGAAATGGTGGAATACCCAGAAATGAGACACCTTGCTGTGACGGATAGACCCCCTCATGTGCTTCCTCCCCTGGGAAACAGGGTGTCCCATTCACACAGCCCACAGAGCAGGAAGGAAACATCGGGAGTTTTAGTTCAAACAGATCCATGCTAGTCTCAAACTCAAGATCCTCCTGTCTCAGCCTCCTAAGTGTTGGGATTTACAGGCATGATCCACTACACCCAGACATGCCCTTCATAAGGGCAGTGTTTTGCTCTCAGGGCACACGACACTCAGGAGTAGAAGTCACACCTCCCCACAGGGTACATCAGGCTCAAGTATGGAAGTCACATCTCCCCAAGGGACTCAACAGGCTCAGGAGTAGGAGTCACCCCTCCCACAGGTCCCTAGAGGACCTGCTTCATGCACACTCCCATGATTCCACTTGTCCCCCACGTACCCCCTGCTGCCACCCGAGCCTCAGGCAGTCCCCCCCCCCCCCGCCCCGCCCCCCACTGGGACCTTCTGCCCTGTGTCCACAGCCTGGGAAGGGAAGAGGCAGCACGGGAAGGGGTGGTCTCCCCACCATGGGGCAGAGGTCCGGAACCCTTACTGTAAGTTCTGGGAGAGCCCAGGCTCCCTCCCCTCACCCCTCCATGGACCTGGAATCCGAGAGGACAGGGACTTCAAGGCCAGCATGGCTAAAAAAGAAACACAAGACCCTACCTGAAAAATAACTAAAAAGCCAATGTGATTAAAAATAAAAAATCAGTCTCTTCCCTTGGAAGTTTCTTAAGCAGTTTGGCAAATTTCTGGTCTCAGATTTCCTAATTTCTCAGCTCTGACGTTGCGATCACAGCACTCTGTCGTTTCTTTTTGCGGCAAAATCACATCAGGGTGGAAACAGCTCCAATAGCACAGCCATTTGCAAAACAGGTCTTTCCATAGCTCAAGTTCCTTTGAAAAAGCAGCTGTTTTCTTCCAGTCTTTGTGAAAATGGCATCTGTGTCAGATCCCAACAACACCCTCCACCCGCCCAGTGACCAGAGCCATGGCCCCACCGGGCCGGCCACACACTGGCCACACACTCCACACCAGAGCCAGTACTGGAGGTTGAGCCCAGGGCTTGAACTAAGGACCTCTTGCTATTGCTGGGTGGTTTCTACCCACAGCTGGCCTGCTACCACTTGAGCCATGCCTCCACACCAATTCTTTTCCAGGTTATTTTGGAGACAGAGTTTCAAAGACTTTCCTGCCTGAGGTGGCTTTGAACTGTGATGCTCCAGATCTCAGCTTCCTGAGTGCCTGTCATTATGGACATGAGCTAGGGGTGCCTGGCTTTGAACAACATTTTTTTTCAGGTTTTTGTCCATTTCCTGAGTGTGGCTGTGGTGGAAGCTGGTTGCTATCATCTGCCAGGCCCGCGGGTCCACACACCAGTACAACAGGCATACAGGTGCGGTGTCCACTTCTCGGGTTCACAGCGCAGCACAGGTGCAGGGACAATGCGGTGCCTTCCCCCCCAGCCGAGGCCCCCATTCCACACCCGCCTGCAGGCTGCCAGCGCCCCACTCCCCACTGTGGATCTGCCAGCGAGACTGTCACTGGACGAAGGGGAGCAGGGCAGGCCTCCACGCACCACGTGGGAATAATACCCCAGAATCCAGCCCAAAGAAGCCCGACAGGAACAAAGCCAAGACTGCTTACAAGAAGCATAAAGGAAAAACAAACAAGTGCGGGGGAAAAAAAAGTCCACTAAATAATCAAAACCTACAGTGACTCTGTGTGCGTGTATTCAACCCAGCTTTCGCACTTGACACAGTCAAATTAAAAGAAAAAAGAAATTTCAAAGGAAATGACTAAGTAACCTCACCAGTATAAAAATATAAACTTCTAGCTACTCTAAAGAGCATAAATAAAAGGGATAACAGGGAGGGTTAAAAGTGACATGAACAGAAAATTCACAAAACTGGAAAGAACTAAAATAACTAAAAAAAAAATGTGAAAGACAATACTTGACTTCATAACCAACCAAAGAAAAAGGTTTTTTAAAAAAAAGAGAGAGAGTCTGTTACACAGGCATGGAAGTACACGCCTGTAGTCCCAGCACTTAAAAGTAAGTGGAGAGCTGCAAGGTCAAGCCAGGCCTGTGCAGCAAATCAAGACCCAGAGAGATGGGAAGGGGGGAATCAGCATTTCTCTATTATTTCTCCTCCCTCTTCCTTCTTTCCTTCCTTCTTCCTTATGTCCTTCCTTCCTGCCTGCCTGCCTTCCTTCCTTCCCTCCCCTGCCCCAAACACTGGCAAGCATGTAATAGAACCCATACTCTGTGAAGCAACCCTTCGAGTCCAACACATAATTCCTACTCTTTCCCTCAGCAGACTTCCATACAGTCAAGTATCTCATTGCATTGTATCTAAAATGGGAAAAAAAAATAAGAAAGAACAAGAAAAGAGAAACCTGAAAATACTGAAATCATCCTGGCCTGTCATCCTAGCTATCCGGGAGGCTGAGATCTGAGGACTGTGGTTCAAAGCCAGCCTGGTCAGGAAAGTACACAAGATTCTTAGCTCCAGTAAACTACTCAGAAAAAGCAGGAAGGAAGTGGTGTTATGGCTCAAGTAGTAGTGCTTCACCTTGAGCCAAAGAAGCTCAGTGCCCAGACCGAGTTCAAGCCCCAGGACATGCAAAAAAAAAAATATTTTACATCGCGCTCGCTCTCTCCCCCTCTCTCCCTCTCCCCACAACCCCTCTTTCTCTCTCTCTCTCTCTATATATATATATAAATCAACAGCAAAGTATTCTCCTGTCAGAGTGTGGATGAAGGGAGCTTAAGAACACTTCAACGATAAATCTTTGGAATGTGTATTTTCCTTTTGGGGGTACTCAAGGCCCCAGCCTGTTTTTGTTTTTTTCTGGGCCTGAGCGCTCTACCATTTGAGCCACAGCACCACTTTCAGTTTTCTGTGGTTAACTGAAGATCAGCGTCCCGTGGACTTTCCTTGCTTGAGCTGGCTTTGAACCGCAATCCTTAGATCTCAGCCTCCTGAGTAGCTAGGGTTACAGGCCTCAGCCACAGGTGCCTGGCCCAGCCTGTTTTGATGGTACTTAGGGCCCTGCACACATTAGGCAAGCCCCCCGACACCTGACCCCCTCTTCTAGTCATTTGTTTAGGTTGTTTCTCAGCTAGCATTTCATATGTTTGCCTGAGCTGCTCTCAGACCTAATGTCTACCTCCACCTCCAAAGCAACTGGGGCTCCAGGCATGAGCCACGGTGCCCAGCCAGCAGTGATTTCACCATTTGGATGAATAGAGTTCAGCTCGGGTAGCATACACAGGGAGGGTCTGGCTGGACAGAGAAGTCTGGGATGGCCCAGCCCAGGCACTAAGAGCTGGAATGGACAAGGTGAGCAAGAGCCAGGGCGGGACCTGCCAATGGGCAGGCAGCGGCCAGAGCAGACCTTTCTCCACCAGCATTTGCACAGAAAAACATTTTCCCTATTCCAGGTCTTAAACCCCAAAATGAAGGCTGCCAGTCCACACTCCATCTAGACACTGCATCCCCATGCACAGGCTCATTTCCTTCCTCCTTCCTTTTCTTCCTTTCTTGTGGTATCAGGGTTTGAACTCAGGGCCTCATATCCACTACCCATGCTCACCCCTGGTGCTTTACCACTTGAGTTATGCCTCCAGCCCAGCTTTTTTGCTGGTTATTTTGCAGATGGAATCTCAAAGACTTTTCTGACAAGACTGAGCCAAGAGCCTACAGATCTCAGCCCCCTGTGGAGCTAGGATGACAGGTATGAACCTCCGGTTGGAATTTGAAATCGTTAGAACAACAACAAAAAAAAATCAGTTTTACAAAGAGAACAAAGCACATGTCCTAAGACCCTGATGAGGAGACAGTTCCCACCGGAGGAGGGAGGGAGGCGGGGCCTTCACAGTGGGGGATCAAAAGACAGCAAGGCACTGGTGGTTCACGCCTATAATCCTAGCTACTCAGGAGGCTGAGATCTGAGGATCCCGGTTCAAAGCCAGCCCAGGCAGGAAAGTCCATGAGACTCTTATCGCCAATAAACCACCAGAAAACAGGAAGTGGCGCTGTGGCTCAAGTGGTAGAGCACTCACCTTGAGCTGAAGAGCTGAGGGACAGCGCCCAGGCCCAGAGTTCAAGCCCCACGACCGACCAAAAAAATAGAAGAAAGAAAGAAAGAAATGAAAGACTTTAGCACTCCCTCCAGCCAGCCATGAATGCAAAGGCTCACATATAAAAGCAGGCCTGGCAGGAGTGAGAGGGAAAGGTGGCTCCAAGAGCCGAGCGACCCTGGCCCGGCAAGACGGAGATGCAATGGCCAGCAGAGGCCAGAGCCGGGCCCCATCCCCGGAGCATGACGCTCGGTCAGCTGCCTGTCCCCCGAAGGCGGCTCCCTCGGATGCAGACGCCGGGGTTCCCACAGCCCTGACTTATTTGCATCCACTTACACTGATTTGTGC